TTATTAAGGTGCAATGTTAGATTATTAGCTATAGACACTTCTTTCCTAGTATGTACTCATTGCTATAAATTCCCCCCTAAGCATGGCTTTTGTTAATTCTCACAAGTTTTGATAAGTTATATTTTCATTTAATTAAAAATACTTACAAATTTCTCTTGAGACTTATTTGACCCACATGTTAATTAGAAATGGGTTATTTCATCTCTAAATATTTTGGGATTTCCAACTGTCTTTCTGTTCATTGGTTTCTAGCTTAATTGCATTGTGGTTTGAGAACATACCTTGTATAATTTCTATTTTTTAAAACTTGCTTTGTTGCCCAGGGTGTGGTCTGCCTTGAGAATAATGTATATTCTGCTGTTATTGGATAAAGTATTCTGTAAATGTCAATTAGATCCAATTGATAGAGGGTGATGTGCCTGTCAACCATACCCTTACTGATTTTTCTTCATGATAGAGGGTTGATGAAGTCCAACTATAGTAGTAGATTTTTCAGTGTCTCCTGGTAGTTATTCTAGTTGTTGGCTCATATTTTTTCGATGTGCCATATGTATATACATGTTGAAAGCCATTATGTCTTTTTGGAAAATTAACTTTTTTAACATTATATAATAGCCTTTTTTATCCGTAATGATTTTCCTTTTTCTGAAGTCTTCCTTGTCTGAACTTACTGTAACTACTTAAGCTTTCTTTTAATTACTGTTAAGGCAGTTTTTCTTCTTCCATCCCTTTATTTTAACTGTTTCTTTCTTTCTTTCTTTCTTTTTTTTGGCGGTACTGGAGTTTGAACTCAGGGCTTCAGGCTTTTGAGGCTGGTGCTCTACCACTGGAGCCATGCCTCCAGGCCTTTTTGCTTTGGTTATCTTGGAGACAGGGTCTTACTTTTTGCTTAGGCTGGCCTGGACTGCTATCCTCCTATTTTAGGTTTCCCGTTGTTGCCGTGTTACTGTGCTCAGCTTTTTGTCTGTTGAGATGGGTCTTGCAAACTTTTTTCACTTGGCTGGCCTCAAACCATGATTCTCCTGATTTCAGCCTCTCAAGTAGCTAGGATTCTAGGTGTGAGCCACTGGCACCCAGCTTAACTATATATTTAAAGTAGGCTTCTGGTAGACAGCATATAGTTGGGTCTCATGTGTTGTTGGGTTTTTTTAATCCTCTCTGATAGGCCTTTTCTTTTTTTTTTTTAAATAAATTTTTTATTAAGGTACATTCACTCTACAGGGTGGGATTCGTAGAGACAATTCCAATTAGACTTATATTGTACATTATTTACATTGCCCCTATCGTCTCTCAACCCCCTCTCCACTCCCTTAAAGCAATTGCAAGAGGTTTCTTAGGTCTGTTTCATATAGGTGTATAAAGTCCCTTTGCCATATACCAGACCCCTGTCCTTAATTGTTATTTAGACCATTTCTAGACATTTACAGTGATTATAGTTGGATGGTTATCTACCATGTTCGTAACTGTTTTCTATTTGTTAGACTTGGTCTTTTTTTTTTTTTGTGGTAGGATTGGGATTTGAACTCGGGCCTTCATACTTGCAAAGCAGGTGCACTATTACTTGAGCCACACCTCCAATCCTTGGTCTTTTTTTTTTTAATCTTCCTGTCTTTTTCTCCCTTCAGTGGATTTAATTGAGCATTTTACATGAATGCATTATTTCTTAGTGCATCAGTTATATGTAGAGTCATTTTTAGTGGCTGCCCTAGAGTTTGTAGTATTCACTTAGAATGAATCTAAGCCCACTTTTTAATAACTCTGTGCTTCTGCATTGGTGGTACTATTACAGGGCATTCCTAGTTTTTCCCTCTTATCACTTTCAACATTCCTGACACTCAGTTCACTTCTCCAAAATATTTTCACCTAGTAGTTGCTACTTAGCCATTATGATAATGATGATGGCTGGTGGAGTGGCTCAAGTGGTAAAGAGCGCCTGCCTAGCAAGCATGTGGCCCTGAGTTCAAACTCCAGTGCTGCCCAAAAATAAAAGCTCAATAATGTGGCAGTACTGAGATTTGAACTCAGGGCCTCATGCTTGTAGACAGGCACTCTAACGATTGAGACACACCTCAGCTAGCCCTTTTTTGGTTTTAGGGTTTTTTGTTTTATTTCATTTTGTGGGACAGGGATTTGAATTCAGAGCTTTACACTTGCAAGGCTCTACCAATTGAGCCACGCCTCTAGATAGAGTCTCTCATTTTTGCAATATAGCTGGGATGACTGGTACCATGCCTGGCTTATTGATTTAGATGGAGTCTTACTAACTTTTTCCCCCTCCTGGGCTGGCTTCCAACTTTGATCCTCCTGATCTCTGCCTCCCAAGTAGCTGGGATTATTAGTGTGAGCCATTGAGCCCTGCTCATTAGTAGCATTAGTTTGAATGATTACAGATTCATTCAGAATAAAAACGTTATTTTAGTTTTATGTTCATTTGTTGCATCTTCAATATTCTTTGTGTATATCCAAGGTTGGAAACCCATTTTGATTGTCTCTAAAGAACTACTTTTAATGTTTTTGATAGGGCAGCTCTACTGTTAAAATTTTTGTTTTTTATTTTTAAGACAGTCTTAAAAAATAAATTCTTTATATTTTTCTTCTCTTTTGAGGAATAATTTTGCTTGATTCAGTATTTTAGGTTGATGTGATTTTTTTTCTTTTTAATGTTTTAAATATTTCACTCTCCTCTTCTTGCTTGCATGGCTTCTAATATGAAACCTAATGTAATTCTTATCCTAGTTCCTCTATAGGTGGCAAGGATTTCCCACTCTTCGGCTTCTTTCAAGGTTTTTTTCTTTGTTGTTTTATTGTTTGTTTTAGATTTTGAATATGATAAGCTCACATGCATTTTTTAAAAATACTTATAAGTGTTCTGTGAATTTTCTGTATCTATGAGTTGTATGTCATTAATTTTGAAAAATTCTCAACCATTATTATATCAAATACTTCTTTTTTTCATTCTTCTTCTAGTATTCCAATTACATGTATGCTATATCTTTTGTAATTGTCCCACAGTTCTTGGATATTCTGTTCTGCTTCTTTCATTTTTTTTACTTGGTATTTTATTTTGGGAAGTTTCTATTGATATGTCTTTAAGCTCACTAATTATTTCTCTGGGTATGTCCAGTGTACTAACGAGCCCATCAAAGGCTGATAGTGCTTTTGATTTCTAGCCTTTTTCTTACTTTTAATTGGATTATTTCTTTTTATTGTTGAGCTGCAAGAGTTCTTGATACATTTTGGATACTAGATCCTTATTAAGTACCATATGAATTTCAGGATTTGCTTGTCAATTTATGCAATAAAGCCAGCAAGGATTTTAATACAACTTACGGGGTATTGCTGTTTTAGTAATATTAAGAATGAATGTAGTAGATATTGCCATTTTAGTAATATTAAATCTTCTCATCCATGAGCAAGGGATCTTTTTTTTTGGTAGTACTGCAGTTTGAACTCCAGGCCTTGTGCTTACTAGGCAGGCACTTTACAGCTTGAACCATACCTCCAGTCCTTTTTGCCCTAGTTATTTTGGCAGTAGGGTCTTGCTTTTTGCCCAGGCCAGCCTGGACCACCATCCTCCTGTTTTACACTTCCCACCATACCTGGGATGATTGGTCTTAACCCCCATGCCCAGCTTTTTTCTGTTGAGATGGGGTCTCATGAGTTTATTTCCTCAGATGGTCTCTGTCCTCCTATTCTCAGCCTTCTGTGTAGCTTAGGATGATTGGCAGTGAGCTACTGGTGCCCAGCTATATTTCTGTTCTTTATTTATTTCTGCTACAGTGTTTCATATTTTCTTTCTCGTGCTTGATTGTTTTTGGTATACTCCTTTTTCCTCTAGTTTTTCATGGTAGAAATTTAGAGTATTGATTAATGATCTCTTTTCTACTTTTAATATTGTTTACAACTACACACTTGTCTGTAAGTACTGCTTTTGCTAGATCCCATAACTGTATTTGTTTTCTTTCTTTGCCTTTCAAGGAAAGAAAAGATGTATTTCCACTGTTCTGAGCTTTCGTCAGTTTGAGCTCACTTAAACAATGTGAAATTGCTGACACTCAGTAATTTTTGATGTACAGAAGTAGTAATTTCCTATGTTTTACCCAAAGACAGATTGTTCTGAATATCTCATTACCGCTTATCACCCCCTTGTTAAAATCTAAGAAACCCAGGAAGAATAATGGAACTTGTCTATTTATCATAGAACAGATATGTGTCAGGATAGAACCAAAATGTTATTGAAGATCTATATGTCTTGTGCTAACAGCTTCTAAAAGAAGCTTTTGATCTGATTGAGGTACATGAAAATTATTCACATCTGGCCCCCGATAATGGTGTTTTCCAAAAGTGTTAGTGAAAATTGTCGTAATTGATTAATGTCCTTGTCATGTGTTACTGCTATTGTTCATGCCTTCAAGCATTTACTGAGTACCAGCTCTGTGTCAGGTTCTTCTGCAATGGATTCACATGAGGGGGAGGGAGGACATGCAGTTTGGTCCTTATTCTGAAGTAGTTGTGGTCTAGAGGAGGAAAGGGAAAAATTGAATGATTTAATTAGGTTTAATTAGGTACAATAGGCTAAATTATGCAATAGATAATGCCTCAAAGGAGGGGGCACCTAATCTTTTACAGGGGAAGGCCAATCAAGGAAGGTTTCTTACTGTTGGCTTGCATTTTGAAGGAGAATAAGTATTTCTGATAGAAAAGACAGGGAAAGAGCATTTTGGGCAGGGAAGGAGCATGTACAGAGGAGCATAAAGAAGAGAGAACACATGATTTTGGAGCCTAGAGTGTCCATTTGGAAAGACATGGGACTGAAAAGTAGGAGGTAGGTTATAAAAGGGTGTTGTATCACAAGGAGTTAGACTTCTAGCTTGTAGGTCCTTTTTGAAGATTTCTACAAAAGAGGCCTTCAAATTTATTTCCTGGGAGCATTTGGGAGTCACCTGCATTCCTTTGTCATATCTGTCACCAGTAAAAATGTTCTTTTCTTTGATTCACAGTTCACTGAGAGTTTTTTGACTGAGAGAGACAAACAGTCCAAATGGAGTGGAATTCCTCAGTTGCTCCTTAAGCTATATGCCACCAGCCACCTCCACAGTGACTTCATTGAATGCCAAAATATCCTTAAGGTAACTCTTAGGGGCTTTAGAGGGGTTGTGTTCAGTGTCTCCAGGTGACCCAAACTGTCTGTCTTTTAAAAATAGCCTGTTTTAATTATGTGAGTTGTAGAAAATTAAAGAAAGTTCAGAAAAAATACAAAAAAAGAAAATCACTAGTAATCCCACCATCCAGAATTAATTGCCATTAAGTTTCCTGTGCATCCTGTTGGGCTTTATTCATGCTTATTTTGTGGCAATGCTTGCTTAATGGGAGGTCAACACTATGCCCCTGTATTTGGATGATATTCTGTCCCTCTGCCCAGTATTGCTGGGGATTGAACCCAGGGCCTTGAGCATGCTAGGCTTACCCCAGGCCTGGATAATACTCTTTTGGAACAGAGTTTAAAAGATCCTGTATAGCTGAAGGTTCATGGAAGAGGTTTGTGGTTGTCAATAATTATCACTAACATTGAAGGCTTCAGATTTGATGGAAAGGAGAGGAGTGGAAACAGTGCAAAGGTATCATGCTAGAACAGTTCTCAAACTTGAGTGTCTGTCAGTCACGGTGCTTGGCCCCAGAATTTCTGATTCAGTAGGTCTGGAGTATCTCATTCAAACTTTAGCTTGGGGCTGGGTCCAAATGTGACTTTACAGTACCAGCTCTAGCTACAATGCTAATCCTTGTAAATATATTTGATCGCAGTGAAACCAAATGGTACTGCTGTTTGGAGATGAAGATTTGATGGTTTTATTGCAGAATTTATTCTAAAACATAGTAGTAACTAAATAAGCTTTGTTTTTACCTTTGAGACTTTTCCATGTTCTTGATCTTCTCACAGTCTGATTGATAGAAGTAATTATAGCCTCTTACACTTGTTTAAAAATGTTTTCCAAGAATTGTACATTATTTCACTCGATTTCCTACAGTATCTCTGAGATACGGAGTTGTAAAATTGAGGGGGGTGGGGAAATTAACATCTTTGTTCTTTGTGTTCTTGATATACAATCATTTCTTTCTTTCTTTCTTTCTTTTTTTTTTGGTGGTACTGGGATTTGAACTGCAGGCCTCATGCTTGATAGACAGGTGCTCTGTTACTTGAGCCATTCTACCAGCAATAATCATTTCTTTATTTATCCAGCGAATACATAGTTGAAATTTATTACATAGCAGGTTTTTCTTTAAGATTTTTTTTTCTATTAGCTATGTTCCATGTAAACAAAGGATGCTATGACCTCCCAAAATCCGAGAACCACTGCTCTATATCTATCATATTACCTGCTCTGTCTTGAGCTCATTGGAGAAAGGAATAGAAGAATCTGTTTTAGCCTGTCTTCAAGTCCAGGAAACAAATAATGTAGGTTTGTAAATAGGTACAAAGAAAAAGTACTAAATATCACAAATGACTTACAGATTGTGTTTAGGGGTTTGAAAAAGCATCAGAGTGCTTTTGAGTAGAGGAAATGAGGGAAGACCAATTTTCTTCAGGAGGTGACGTGTGAGCAAAGATTTGGTTATTGCTATAGAGCCAGTCACTACAAAACTTAGTAACTTGAAGTAGCAACCACCATTTGCCTCTCAACAGTTCTCTATTGTTTGGGTGGTTCTTCTGCTTCATGTAGACATGTGGATTGGATAAGGTACTAAGACATCTGCAATGTCCAAATTGGCCTCACTCACATCCCTGGCAGGTCAGGATACTGTTTGTCAGCTGCAAGTAAGCTAAGGATATCAGTCCTGGCCTCACTTCTCCTGGCTTCTCCCAGGTGGCTAGGTTGGGCTTCTCACAGCACAAGAATTAGGTTCCAAGATGGCAAAAACAAACTCTTCTAGGTATTAAGGCTTATGCAGAGCAGTATGATGTCACTTCTGCATATTCATTAATCAGAGTTAGCCCAGATTCTGCATGGGAAAGGACTCTACAGGGTTCTAATACTAGGAAGTGTGGTTCATTGGGGACTATCTATGTGCCTGGGAATTCAATTTGTGACTGAAATGCAAACTGATATTATAGTGTCTAATCTGAGTTGAATTCTAAACAGAATGTTCTTTTTTTTTTTTTTAACTAGGAAATTTCTCCTCTTCTCTCTATGGAGGCTATGGCATTTGTAACTGAAGATAGGAAACTTACTCAAGAAACCACTTATCCAAATACTTACATTTTTGACTTGTTTGGAGGTGTTGATGTAAGTAGCTGCTTATTATTACTATGACTTTAATAGCTTGAGAATATAAGTGTTAAAATGGGAAGCAAAAAACATTTCAAATTTTATAGCAAACATTTCATATTTAACTTTTAGAAGTTCAGTGGCACCCTTCTATGTTGACGCAGTATACAAAGTAAAAAGTGTGTTTCCTAGTTTCTCAGTATCCCCTTCTCAGAAGCAGTTGTGATTAACAGTTTCTTATATGTCCTTCTAGAGATATTTTGTGGCAATATGTGTGTGTGTGTGTATAAATATCCCATACCCCTACCTCTTCCTTAGTTTACTTTTTCCCTACATGCAAGTGGCAAAACATGAACTCAAAACTTAGTACATCCTCTTTCTTGCTCTTTTCATGTAACTCTGGCTTGGGGTTAGTTTGATTTTAGTGAACATAAATTTGCCTCATTATTTTAAGTAGCCAGATAGTGTTCCCTGATTTTTTTTTCTTTATACTGGGTTTTAAACTCAGAGCCTACATCTTAAGCCACTATACCAGCCTTATTTTTGTGATGGGTTTTTTTCAAGATAGGGTCTTGCCAACTGTTCTCCTGGGCTGGTTTTGAACCATGAACATACTGATCTCTGCTTCCTGAGTAGCTAAGATTACAAGTGTTAGCCACCCAGTGCCTGGCTCCCTGGTATAATTTTACCATGATGTATTTGGACAGGCCCCAATTGGTGGGCATTTATGGGTTTTTTTAATAAATTTTTTTCTATTGTCAAATAGGTTGCAATATAGATTTTTTTTTTTCCCCTTGGTGGTATTGGGGTTTGAACTTAGGACCTTGAGCTTGCTAGGCAGGTACTCTACTACTTGAGCCAAGCCCCTAGGTCTGCAGTAAAGATTTTATACACACTTTTTTGTACATAAGTATAGATTTTTGGAATGAAAATATTTTACTGTTTATTCACCTGCAACTTATTAATAGGTTTTATTAGCTCGTATTCCCTATAACAAAGTATAAGAGTATGTTTATCCACACCATTACTAACTTATTTGTGTGTGTATTTTTATGGACTTTGTTATGTATAATCTTCATACAGAAGATTTGTTAAGTATAATCTCCATATAGAAAAGTATGCCAATAACTACCACAAAATAAATTCACTTTTCTCCTACTGCCCAAATTGAGAAATGGAACCTTACAAGAACATTAGCAGCATCTAAAAGCTTCCTTCACCAAACTGTGTTTGAAGTATTTACTAAGCAGATATGAGGAAAAATGATATTTCTTCACAGTTTTTTTTTTTTAACCAGCTCTATTGAGATACAGTTCACATGCCATACAATTTGCCTATTTAAAGTGTACAGTTTACTTTTTGGCTTTTTGGCTAAGATGATGTGCAAAGTGTACAATTTGTTGGTTTTCAGTGTATACATATACGTGTGCATCCATCACCTCAGTCAATTTTAGAACATTTTCATCACTTCAAAAAAGAAACTTCATGTGTTCGCTCTCACTTCCTACTTCTCCAATACCCTTCTCCACTAATTTAAGTTTTGCCTCTATAGCTACCTGTTCTGGACATTTCATATGAATGGATCCTGTAATATGTGGTCTTTTGCGACTGGCTTCTTTGACACAGCATGATGTTTTCAGGGTTCATCCACATTTAAGCATTTATCAATATTCATTCCTTTTTATTGTCAAATAATAGTCTGTTGCATGGATACTCTGTATTTCATATGTCCATGTGTCTGTTTATGGATAGCTAGATTCTCACCTTTTGGCTATATGAAGAACATTGCTGGAAATATTCTTGTGTGGGCATGTATCTTCATTTGTCTTGGGCATATACCTAGGAGTGGAGTTGCTGGGTCATGCGGAGACTCATTTTTATTATTTGGGGAAGCTACCAGCTGTTTTTCCAAAGAGGCTGCACCATTTCACATTGCTATCAGCTGTGTAAAAATCCTTGATTTCTGTATATCCTTATCAATGCTTAGTATTGTCATTTCGATTACCTGTATTCCAGTGAAGTGCTATATTGTTGTGGTTTTGATTTGCATTTCCTTGATGGCTAATGATGTTGACCATCCTTTCATGAGCTTGTCATTTGCCTATCTTCCTTGGAGAAATGTCGGTCTCCTATTCCCTTTTTAGGGGTCTGTAGGGGGACTGGAATTGAACTCAGTGCCTTATGCTTGCTAGGCAGGAACTCCATCACTTGAGCCACACTCCCAGTCCTTTTTGTAGATAGGGTCTTGCACTAACTTTGCTTGGCTTACCTCAAACCATGACCCTTTTGTCTTTGTCTCCCTAGAAGCTGGGATTATAGGTGTGCACTACCACACATGGCTCCTTTTGTCCTTTTTTTTGGGGCAATAATAGGGGATTGAATTTGGGGATCATGCTTCCTACAAAGGCATTCTACCACTTGAGTCATGCCACCAGCCCTTTTTTGTTTATTTGTTGTTTTTTTGATAGTATGGGTTGGTTATTTTTTATGCTTGGGCTGGCCTGGACTGCAGGCACACACCACCGTGCCCAGCCATTGATTGAGATGCAGTCTTGTGAACTTTTTTGCCTGGGCTGGCCTTGAACATGATCTCTGCCTCCCAGATAGCTACAATTACAGGCTTGAGGCACTATACTTGGTTCTTTTCTCAGTTTTCAATTGAGTTATTTCTCTTTTATTATTGAGATATAAGAGTTCTTTATGTATTCTCTTCATAGCTTTTAAAGCTGCTTCCTTCTATGAGTGACATTGGATATTTTTCCTGTGTTTATAAATAGTTCTTTTTCTGTCAATTGTCTGGGTTTTGTTTTTTTGTTTTTGGCAGTACTGGGATTAGAGCTCAGGCACTGCACTTATTAGGCAGCCACTGTACCACTTGAGCCAAGTACCTAACCCTTTTTGCTTTATTTTTTAGGTAGTGTCTTGTGTTTTACATGTGGCCAGCCTTAGACCGCAATCCTACTACTTACCACCTCCTGCAGAGGTGGGATGACAGACATGTCACTGTGCCCAGTTTGATCAAGATGGGATCTCACTAACTTTTTGCCTCAGCTAGCCTCAAACCACATCCTCCTGATCTCTGCCTCCCAAATAGATGGGATGACAGGGGCCAATTACTAGCTTTTGCATTTTTTTTCCTATTTGGTTATTAGTCGTTTTTAAGTACTCTTACTTTGAGACAGAGTCTTGCTGTGTAGCACACAATGGCATTGAACTCTTGATCCTCCTGCCTCAGCCTTCCCATTGCTGGGGTTGCATGTATGTACCGCAATACCTGGCTAGCATTCTGTATTTTTAAAAAATCTCTCATTAATGAGTGTTTTTGTGTTTTTCCCCCACTTTGAAAATTGAATTTTGACTTTATGGTACTTTTAAATTAGACTGTTTATTTTTCTTATTATTATCAGGTTGATCATAGTTTTTTGTTTGTTTTTTTTAGTACTGGGATTGAACACAGAGCCTTGTGCTCTACCTCCTGGGGTTTTTTTTTTTTGTGATACTGGATTTGAACTCAGGGTTTCATATTTGCTGAGCAAGCGTTCTCTACTGCTTGAGCCACGCCTCCAGCCCTTTTTGCTCTGATTATTTTTGAGATAAGGTCTCATTTTTTTGCCCAGGCAAGCCTGTACTGTGATCCTCCTATTTTACACTTCCTGCCATCACTGTGATGACAGGAGCGTACCACCATGCCCAGCTTTTTTTTCCATTGAGAAAGTCTTGCAAGCTTTTTTTGCCTGGGCTGGGCTTGCCTGGCCTGAAACTGCAGTCCTCCCAATCTCAGACTCCCAAGTTGCCAGGATTACAGATGAGCCACTGATGCCCAGCTCATGCTCTACTTCTTGAGTCATGCCTCAGTCTGGCTTCAGAGTTTTATTTCATGCTTGTTCTGCTGTTGGATTGTAAACTATTTCTTTCTAGTATTTTAAAGTTTTTTTAATTATAGATTTAAAATTTTTCCACTATTTGACTTTTATTTTGGTGTAATGAGTAAGGAGTTGGGATTTGACATCTCCCCCCTTCCTCGTTCTCTCTGCCCCAGATATCTGCCTTGGAGGGAGCTAGAAGGAGGGAGCATTGTAGACTGTTGGGGTTATTTTCTGTCTTGATCTGGATTGTGACTAAACAGGATTTGGGTTCAGTTTGTAAAAACTAGAGCTGTACACTTAAGATTTGTACTCTTTATTGTGTTATACTTCAATTTAATTTTATTATTTTTCTTGAATATACTGTTTTCTACAAAAGTAAGAATTGAGTGTTACATCTGTATCATCAGCCACACACTTTATTCTTTTCTCTTTTTTGCTTTACTTTGATTTGTTTTTCCTTGCTTCTCTTCTCCTTTTTCTTTGTGCACATGCTGGGCAAGCTCTCTACCACTGAGCTATATACCTTCTATCCCACCTATATTCTTTAACTGCTATTCTGTCATCCCCTCTTCTCAGCAGTCCCAGTGGTCCTGTGGTATTTATTTAATGGCAGCTAGAGGGAGCCTTTATTTCTGAACTGTTCATCAAGAAATTTACTCAATTAAAACCAAGTTATTCATGGAAGGAAAAAGAATAACGTACATCTCTAGCCTGGTGTCCATTTATAGTGAAAACATAACTTTGTATGGTAAGTTCTCGTCCAATCTTAGGACATCTTTGGGTCAACTGTTCTTGGTTTTTGTAGGGCCTTCTTTTCTGCTGCTAGTTCAGTTTCTCCAGAAGTATCAGTCTTTTCATAAATACAGATTTTTGTGTTGGTCTTTTGTGCTTCACCAACCTTCGGTTGGGTGTATTTGTTCTTGCTGAACTCCTTTTGCCATCTTCCTCCTAGAGGTATTTTTCAGACAAGCTCATTATTTCTTCCTTTGCTCATCACTAGCAAGACCCCAAAGTAGGTTTCTGTTGTCCATGCTGACCAAAGCTCAGATGGATTGGAACACTTGACCACACTTCAGCTTGACCCAACCCCTAATATGACAGTGAAAAGTATATCCCATAGTTTGTAACTTCAGATGCCAAGTAGGTAACTAA